TTTATATATTTATAGTATCTTTTACTGTTAGATAAAAATATGTTGGGTCATTGGAACGTTTGCATATTCATTGTATTTTCTTACCCAGGAACGGAATCATTATGAATGAGGATGCAGATAATTTTGCGTGGACTCACCAGCTCGAGTGTCCGTCGACAATATACAATGATTTGGTAAAGAAAATGTTCGTCTTACTTGTGTATCCATTACTATTTGTATCTATTTATTGGAGCTTGCCATGTTATCGACTTACCAATTTTTTTCTTTTTATCAGATTGTGCAAGGGAGTATTGAAGTTGTTATGGGAGGACATTTCCAATTCTGTGTTTCCTGCGGCCCAAGCCTGTAAAATAAGAAAGAACATTTTACTGTACAAACTGAAGCATGGATTGAACAACTCTGCAATTTCATCTATGAGAGAGTTGAATCAACTGAGATCTAAAAGCAGCACATTGAAACAACAGATATCTGCGCTGGAAGAAGAATACGAAGAACAGGACTATACTGTCAGGCAAAAAAGTAAGGTGAAAAGATGTTTATCCCGAGAATGTTTCAATACAATGTTAATAAGTTCCATAAAATTGTTAGTGCAACGATTGAAGGATATAAAGAGTAAGTGTTCGGTAACCAGTACGAGGAAGGATTTTCTCAAACTAAAACACGGCGAAACCAGCAAGCAACTGAAAGATTGCGGCGACATGAGACGAGTGTGCCAGCATTTAATGCCAAACACCTCTATGGACATAGATCAACAGAAATTAAGGGAGAATCTACATATGATAACAGATCTGCGTCGTTCAGCCATAGATAAGAAACGGGTAAATCTTATTTTTAGAATATAAAATAATATTTGCATGTAAAATAGTATTGACGAAAATGACATTTTCCAATAACAGATATGGACAAAGGTATCGAGCTCTCTCAGTGGTATTGGCGTACACCCGCTGTGGACACACTTGTATCAAACGTTGTCGCAAGATTTAGACACGTTAATGAAATTGGAGACCAAAAGCGACTTGGGCAGCTCGAGTGTAGTGGGCGAAAATATAGATATTGGTATCGCAAGAGCTTGCGGTCAATACATATCCACTATTTCGAAAGGCATATCGTCTAATATTAGAGCTAACATGTACCAACAACGCTTAGTGGAATTCATTGAACTAATAGAGGTACCGTGAAAAGATTTCAAACTATGAGAAAAGATGATTGACAGAAAAATGAAATTAAGATTAATGCACACTTCGTCTTGCAGTCGTTAGCCCACGAAGATGTGAACACGTGGTTAGCTCTGAAATTGGAAATTGGAGAAAGTTAGAAACCGAACAGACGTGTCGGCAAAACGAAGTTCAGAAGTTGAAGAACACTATCCAGGAAAATTCCTTGCTCAATCTCGACATAGCTCGATTAACGTCTGACATAGAGACGATTGACGCACGGATGGTACGTATTGGCATATTCCACACTCTACATACCCTTGATACTGATATCGAACATATTGCAGGATAAATATATAAAAGACATTCAGCGATCTATAGCAGTTTTAAACTCTACGCCGACGCTCATATTTAAAAAGAAAGAGAAGCTGCATTACGAATTGCAGAAGATAATGGCGTTACAGGTCGACAATTACGACGCGAAATGCGTGAAGAATGCGTTGGACATCGAACTGGATATGTTTTATAATATCTTAGATCGAAAAGTAATGTTGAAGGGAGATGTGGGACTATACAGGTTGGTATAAAAGTTTTTCACGTTAAATTTTACATTATTATCGTAAAGCTAATATATAATGAACAAATTTTCTCGCAGACACGCAATATGTGGTCTCGACAAAGTCTTCATCACCTCAGTCAATCCGCAGTGCTCGAGGATCAAGCCTTACTTCCCAATTATACAAATACCGATGTACTCCCTCATAAAATGCTATAAAAACGCGATTGCCAATATAATTTACACGAAACTGCACTGTTCGTCGTCAACTGAGGAGATTGAGTGCGCAGATAAGTTAATGCCGTCGCGAGAAAAGTGTAATTACAATAGTTTGGAGCTGCTGAATCTCGCCACAGTCGTTTGCGATCAGGCGCGCGAAGAGATCAAGCGCTTCAACGCAGTCCTGAGTGCTTGGTAAGTTAAACCGTCAAGATCTGAAGTTACAGTTATTTAATCATGTTTTTAGGGCGAACCGAGATGTACGAGAAGCAATGGCACTCGACGAAACGACCGTGGACGGTGTGTCCTTTAAGGATTGGTTGCAGCGTTACAATTTATTATTATACATGATACAAAATAGCAAGTGATCTATATATTGTAGTCTGTCGCCGTTCATTTATATTATATTGTTACGTGTTCGAAGAATTTGTATCCTGACAACAAGGACCTGAATGCCTTGTACAAAACGGAGGGCAAACAATTCTACGTAAACGATTTCGACAAGTCCCCTATATAAATCTCAAAAACGCGATATCTTCCTTGTATAGTTATTTAATTTACAACGTTAAATGTCACTAAAATGAGAAACACGATGTTGTTAAAAAATGTCATTAGTAATAAATTGTCCTTATATTATAATCCTTGTAATTGATAATTAACGTCCTATATCCCTCAGGTATATTTTAATTAAGTTAAATCATCGATTAATTTGTCGATTAATATTTTATTAATACGAATAGAATTATTAATTTTCTGCCTAGAGAAAG